TTCACTATATGGCCTTTGGGACCCTTCAAAAATTAATATTCGTGAAATTCATGCAGAGACCTTTCATTTGATAGGTAACAACCTATAGTTGGCATAATATTCACTATATGGCCTTTGGGACCCTTCAAAAATTAATTTTCGTAAAATTGAAGCAGATATCTCTTAATTAATATATTACAAGCTATAGTTGGCATAATATTCACTATATGGCCTTTGGGACCCTCCAAAAGTTATTTTTCATGACATTGGTGTTGAAAGCTACCATTCAATATGTTACAGCCTATAGTTGAGATAATCTTCACTATATGACCCTCAGCACCCTTAAAAACACATTTCTTCCACGGTATACACAGTGTTGATTAAACATGCGACAAAAAATTCAGAGGGTTGTTTTTTATCGTCTGATATAGGTCAGCACGGTATACAGATTATTGATTAAATATGCGGCAAAAGGGTTGTATCTTTGACTAATACCTCATTTTAAATACCCTTTTTGTTCCGAGAGTGGACAACATTATCGAGAAAACTATTTTTGATATTTTGAAAATTGCTAAATGAAAGTACCACACCCCTAGCTAGTAATGTTTAACAGTAACGAGTAATTTTGGTAATAAAATGTTCTTTCTCTCCTGCACGGATTTTCAAAAATATTCCAAGGAATAATTCCTCGAATTTTTACAGTTAATAAACACTAGAATGTCTCATGATATGTGGGACGCACTTGATGTCTCAAGGAAAAAAGTTCCCATGAACAAAGGTCGTAAAAGATTTGCCTTAAAGTTGCGAATATTTTTTCTTAACCCTGTATCGGAAAGTTTCATAACCACCCATGTTTTTTTATGAAAAAATCACGTATCCCGGTAAGAGTCAGATCCACTGAATAATAATTCAATCAGCTACTTCACCAGGATATCACAAATTATCTAGCAATGAAAACAACCACCCTGTATCTCGCAAGCCTTTTACGACCTTTTTTGTTTCATGTTTTCAGACGTCCTATTGGTGAAATGGTATTCACAATACCCAATTTTAAGTAGTAATCACAAAAATACAAATGAAGTCGAACTCACCCCAGTTTATCCAGCTGCCTCAGACGACCACTTAGCAGAAAACTACTTGATAACACTAACTTGCTGAACAGAATGAACTACGTGCGATCATAGACAAACACTTTCACCTCACGATTTGAATTATTTACGTAAATATCAATGCGATCATGGAGGTCTGGAGCACTTGTTATTGAACTGCATAATGGCAATGATATTATGTTAATCGATGATCGAGCGTGATAAACAAACACACCTAGCAAATTATTATTGAATTCATTACACTGATGAGATCATGGCATAGGAAACGTAAACAGGGTGATTTCTGGACCAAAGACTGGCAACGAAAAATGTTACCGAAATTTAGGAACCAGGCACCCTAGATACATCCTAAGTTATGCATGACGTCGGGGTTCTTCAGTTCACACACCAGGAGCTCTGCAACGTCTTCAACTGCACTTGGAGGAACTCGATGACCGTTTGGGCCAGATTGAGCATAGAGCGTTCTGGGTCCACAACTCTCCTAAATAATCTACTAATGTTAAAAAGTGTAATCTAACTAAAAACAAACCTCGATTTGAGCAAGTTCTTCAAGGTCATGGCATATATAAAAAAACAGATATTGGATTTCGGCCAAAAAAGGCAAACATTTTCTTGAAAGAAGAAATATTCCAGTTTATGAATGAAGCACCTGACAAAATTCATCTTCATATAAAAGTCGCTAAGATTTTTGATTTGGCGGGCGCATGTAGACGAGAAGAATTAACAAAGATGTCTTTAGATCATATTGATGACGAAGGGAATATTATATTGATGAATATCCCAGACACAAAAAACCATTCTTCCATCAGAAGCTTTGCGATTTCTGAGGAAGATGAAAATGGAAAATTGCTCAATTTGTTCAGAAGGTATATGATTTAAAGAAATCCTGAAACCGTACATAAGCAATTTTTCGTGAACTATAAGAACGGAACTTACACTTCACAATGTATTAGAATAAACACCTTCGGAAAAATCCTGAATTATATACGGCCCTTTGTTTCCGACGTTCCGCCGCCACAATGCTTGGAAATTCCGGAGAAGGAACAACAAATATTGAACGCCTCGGAAGTAGGAAATCTTCCAGCGTCGCAGAAGGTTATGTAGAAAGCTCACCAAGTTTTCAAAAGGGCCTATCGAATAAAATATTGATCTTCAGTGACGCTGTCGCTGGCCCGTTCACTAGTCAGCAGCTGTTACCAGTGAAGCCTTCCGAAATGACCTCTTCCAGCCAAGTTCCGATGGCCACGGTTGCTGACAAAGCAATGGAAAACCGCAATATTACTTCATTAGAAAAAACTTTAGCTTCTACAATTAATTTGCGGAATGCAACAAATTGCTCGTTCAATATTAATATTGATAATAATTAATTTGCGAACTATGTATTCAATAATGAATGTTTCTTCATGTTAACACTTGGGTTTTTTCCGCACGCTAGTAGAAAAAATAGTGTACCTAACACGTGCGTAAGGTGACTTTTCACTTTCCGCACTTGTTAGGTAAACTACTATAGAATTTGTAACAACTTGCTCGAATCACTCGAAGATGTGTGTGTGATAGAAGAATGGATACCGTGAAAGAATAGAGATAGCGAATGGAAAAATGTGACGTTATTCGCAGGCAAAGAGAAAGTTTTTTGTATATACAGGGTGAGTCATGAGGAACTGTACATGCTCCTACTACGAATAGAGGCAGCTGAGGGGAATACCAAATGACCATCAGAAAGTGTCTCTGCCTCTTCTAAAATGATCTATAGGGTGATTTATGGGATATGGCCAAAATTTCTGTCAATCTTAACTTTCCAGCAGTTCTTTCGATTCCTTTCATTTTTTCTTGGATTATTATGCTGTCACTCAGCAATCAACTGACGTATTCAGAATCGTGAAAATCCAGGACCGGTCTTGAGAAATTCTGCCAATTTGGTTCATATAAAAAATTTCACTCTGTATGAGGTTTTAGTAAACTGTGATATGGAATTTCTAAAGTTGATGAACAGGCAACCAAAATGAAGTATTTCAAATTTTCCTCACAATTTCATTGAATTTCTTAGAAAATGATTAATTTAAACTACACACGAAACTTGGGCAACAAATGTATTAATTTCAAAATTAATACTTCGCAATGCATGAATTACACGAATAAAAGTAAGGGTAAAATTATTCCTGATTCTTGTTTGTCAACTCCGAACATTTCATGTCACAGTTTATCAAAATCATATACAGGGTGCAATTTTTGGTGATTATTACCATGTACCAAAAATTTACTGAATCCAACCCTGGATATAGATGAATGTTGATTTTCAGTGAACTGAAGAATAGGAAATGATGTTATTCTTGCTTCTATTCGTGAAATTCTAGCGGTGCGAAGTATTCATTTTCAAATTAATACATTTGTTGCGAAAGTTTCACGTGTAGTGAAAATTGATCGTATTCTAAGAAATTCTGTGAGACTCTGAGGAAAATTTGAAATACTTAATTTTGGTTGCCAGTTCATCAACTTTGGCAATTCCATATCACAGGTTACTAAAACCATATACAGGGTGTAATTTTTGGTGATTATTACTCTCTACTAAAAAATTACTGAATCCAACCCTGGAAATAGAAGAATGTTGATTATTGTTGAGCTGAAGAATTGAGAATGATATTATCCCTACTTTCATTCGTGAAATTCATGCGTTGCGAAGTATTAATTTTCAAATTAATACATTTATTGCCCAAGTTTCGTGTGTAGTTTAAATTAATCATTTTTTAAGAAATTCAATGAAATTGTGAGGAAAATTTGAAATACTTCATTTTAGTTGCCTGTTCATCAACTTCAGAAATTCCATATCACAGTTTACTAAAACCTCATACAGGGTGAAATTTTTTATATGGACCAAATTGGCAGAATTTCTCAAGACCGGTCCTGGATTTTCATGATTCTGAATACGTCAGTTGATTGCTGAGTGACAGCATGATAATCCATGAAAAAATGAAAGAAATCGAAAGAACTGTTGGAAAGTTATGATTGAAAGAAGTTTTTGCCATATCTCATTAATCACCCTATAGATTATTTTAGAAGAGGCGGAGACACTTTCTGATGGTCATTTGGTATTCCCCTCAGATGCCTCTATCCGTAGTAGGAGCATATACAGTTCCTCATGACTCACCCTGTATAGTGACTCATTATTGAGCCGAGCAACACAGAGCGCTTATCACACGTATGGTGATAACTTGAAACAATTTTTGTGCATATACTAGGACCGTGATAGGGCCAACCGACGGTGGGTTTTTGAACATCGATATTTTTCAATGAAAAAATGGGCAATTTTGGGTGATATTGTTTATTTTGATGAGTTCCTGTTGAAAAAATACCTCACCTCCGGGAACACATTGTATAACATATCCAGAAGTGGAAAGAACAACTATCAAAAATATTCTAGTCTGCATCAGAAGAGTACGACTACAAGAGATGAGCAAACTTGTGATATGTGGCATTGATATTAGACCCACCTGAAAACTGTAGTCCAGAATGCAGAATCCAGAACCCACTGTATGTGCATAGTTGGATGGCCTATTTTCAGTTTAAGATATTTTTACTCGGACTCGAATATCCCTACTATACTGTAATCTTTCGTGGTGATACGTGATTTATACGGGGTGTAGGAGTGTCCAAGATAAGGATGTCTATCATGGGGTGAAGTTGATGATGGTTTCTCCGAAACAAAACGTCATTCGGAAAATCTGTCAACGCTGCTTTGAAAAGCTTAAAAAATGGCAATGAGAAAATGCATTTTGTCTCAATATATCTCTTTGAACAACATCAGAAAAAAATTAAAACGATCCCCATGATAGACCTCTCCATATCTTGGACACAGTGTTTATCGAAATTGTTAATATATAAAGATATTCATTCATGGAAATCGACTCGACTCACCAGATAGAAGTAGACCAGTTTGTAGTTTTCTTGTGATGGTAATCGGTAATAACTTATTTCTTTCTGGTTTGCGGATTCCAACTGAACCTCAAAACTCTTCAACAGTCCATTGGTCACATTGGGATGGTACCATGAAATGTTCAAATCATTATTTTCTTTCCACGAAAGATGAACTTGATAGGGTGGTTGGGGTGCTACAAAAATATATCAGTTTTGATGTACCTCATATAAAAGTATATATAGAATTCATACCTTCTGCCTTAATGGCTACTGTTATTCCGTTTGAACTTTTTCCATATTGATGAATTCCCTTATTTTTCGCTTCGATCTACAATAAATATTGTGAACTTGAGGAATATTATATCATCCATAACGGTATCACTTTGAAATAAAGCATATATATAGTAGGTGAGTTTTTTCCTTGGATCTAATTGTATTGCATTGTAATTTTGAGTGATATAAGTGATTATGTATTGTATAATTATCGTAGCCTCTGATATAGACAATATTGAAATGATTTTTTATCTATATGGATATTCATTCGCTATTCGCCAGTGTGCATATTATTTGCACATACAATAATTTTAATAATAATGAAGTACCTAACTACTTCATTGATCATATGTAAATGTAAATAAATATACAGTACAAAACAATCAATTGGCCATCGATCTGAGTCCTTCAGCCTATAACCCTCTCGAACGTGAGGAATTGAGAAATTTCAGGTTATACTGTGCGAACGGTCAGCTCATATAGTCGGGGCTAATGGGTCGTGGTTCATTCACTTATCATATCATGTAACTTTGTCAAAAATATAACAATTGGCATAAGAAAGATAGTTCCACCAGATAAGATTTTATTTGGACGCCATCCTGTGCTGAAGGATAGGAAAACAAATCAAACAAATAAAATTTACATTTACTGACTGAAAAGAATATTCGAACGAGTATCAAATCTGCATCACAAATATTTGTAATATGTGTCACGAATGATATTGTACACGGAGAAAAATAGATAGCAGGTATTACCAGAATTATAGTACAGTTTACCAAAATTTCTGGTACTATATATGTGACAGCAATAAAAAATGGTAAGTATCTAACATACATATTATGCTTTTCTATAAGCAAATTATATTCGATAAGAGGTGGATATTTATGAAGAAAGCATTATATGGTACAAAATGGAAAATTATTATCTTCATTTTGACAAACATAATTTATGGTAATATTCAACATGATATATCTCGAGAATTTGGATATACATCTGAAATAAGCATATGCTTATTCTAATAATGAGAAAATCATATATGTTGAATAAAAAGTTAGGAGAAAGACACACATTTTCTAGATTGACATATTTTATCCCAGAGGGTGGTAGAATTTCTATACCATAAAATATGTTCTACATATTTCTCTCCGTGTATGCAACTGAAATGCAACTGGGTATGGCATATATCACACAGGGTGTTAAATAAACGTTCTCCTATCATTGAAACTTGACACAATGATCATGGGCTTTGAATGAATCTAATCAATGGTATATTCCCCAGACATAATGCATTACACCTTCACAGATATAGGAATATTTAATAATGATTCTTCAATTGTACTAGATTCCAAAGTGTACTCGATTTTAGATTATAAAAGATCAGTGAATACTTTACAATATGCAGAGGATACCTTATATCAGCAAGACTGTGAATAAGCCAGAAAATGTTGTTAGACCAGAGCTTATTGATATTTTCAGCTTCCAAATTACATCCTGGTCAATTTCATCATCACTTTGGGCTCCAGGTTCCAGATTTCATGAGCATACAAGTCTGGTGAGACGTCAGGTGACCTATATGTATGCTAAGTCCAGCCAGTACGTTGAATTTATGACATCAGGTTCGAAATTATCCATATCTTCTTTAAATTTACAACAATAACTTCCCAGTGTTAACAGGAACAATAAATCGGCTCTGGAATTCATTGCCTGAGGAAGTATTCCTCCAAATCTCCAAAAGTTCAAAAAAATTCCGATACCTATACGTCCTATCCCTATCCTCCCTAGGAACGCACGATGTTCTTTGAACATTATAGGAATTCCCTTTCGTGCGCTCCAAGCGATAAAAAAAAACAAATAGCCAGGACAATCTCTACATGAAGATTGTTTCCTCAAATCATCAGAAATGCTTACTCTTTTGAGTCTATAAAAATAATTCAGCAGAATAGTTAAAAAGTAGAAGCAAAAGTAAAAGTAGAAGTGCAAGTAAAGCTAAAGTAAAATAAAAGTCTGGCAGAACTCTATTCAGATGTTATTAACGAAAAATTGTGGTTGATCAAAAATGTAATTTAGCGGACATCCACATACGAGTTCATTCAATGGTGGCCAGATGCAGAAAGGAACGATTTTCAATTTTTCTTTATCTTTTCTAGTTGAAAATTCAAGTGTCCATGTCATAAAAGTCAAAAAATCTTAGTAACCAAATAGCCAGAATCGATCCAACCAATCAATACAGTTCAATAACACTAAGAAAACGCTGACGGCATACTACTTAGATATTATTTCGAGGCTGCAGAGGAGTCAATCATCCTTGATATGTTACTGTCGCGATCCTGTTTGTTGAAGGGCTGAACGCTGAACTACTGTTTAATGCTACATGAGACAATGGAACAAGAAAAAGAAGGATTAAAATTACAATTTTGAACCTTAACAACTTGTTTTACATTTCACCTGAATATTTCCAAAAGAAACTGAAATAATAAACTTCCATCAAGTCAACAAAACATAACATGCAATTGAAATCCAAATTTTGTAAAGAATATATACAGGATGATCTCCGACGAATGCCAGTGACTCGTAGCTCCATGAAATCTGTAACAGAGGAGCTCAAAATATACTATAAAAGGGAATGCAAATTATCAAAATACATTCAGTGAAAACCAGAAATGGTCAGTTGAGTACTTGGTGTCCAGAGATAAAACTTACAAAACTAATGGGCCTGCCAATATGATTGCAGAATGCCATAATATACAAATGTCCAAAACTGCTTCAGTACTGACATACAGAGATTTGTAGATTTTGACAAAAATTCAATCTGCCATATTGAAAACAGAGATTAGATACTCGATTTGGTTCAAATTTGGTACATGAATTAAACTCAAAGGATTCAACAAGAAGCCTTCTGAGCAAAACCAATATCAGGACCGGAACATATGTTTTTGCCTTTTTCGAGTTATTGTGGGAGTAACTCATCCTGTATAATATTCATGAAGAATCTGAGGTCATATTATGAATCTACGGAGATAAAACTATAGGAACACAGTTTCAGTTATTCCGTAATGAATTATTTTTTCAATATTTTTCATCAATTGTCGACTTAAATTTCATCAAAAATGGAAATATGATGAATGTTTACGAAACCAAAACATAATATTCGTCATTCTCTTTGATTACTTCGTAGAAATAATCCATAATTCACTCTAGTAACCTAAAAAACTGAAGAATACATTCGTATCAGGACCGAAATGACTCTTTCTCATATTCTTGTAAGTGCAAGGTGTCTCTAAAAGGACTCTACACAATCTCAGCACATATTCCTGAGGTCTGAATATATGCCGATTCGAAGCAACTCTTCTCAGTCCAGAATTGCTCCATTTCCGAGATACAGGGTAGGTAGTAAATGTAAAAAATGAAAAATCGAATTTTTTCAGAATTAATGAACATATTTGAACGTATCACTCCGAAAATTTTCAGCAGGGAAATCTCTGGGATGCGGAACCAGAATACGGACACATTTCCACTGTGGTTAATAGAGGGCGCTTACCAATGGACTTCTTATCGTTAAGAAGTGCCATCACTTTTTTCTCAGTGTACTATTGAACTCTTTTTGTTGATGAAATGATTTTTCAAATATTTTTCATCGAAAAGGTACTCCTGTGACAATTCGCTAAAGTGAACCGATTTCGAGATATTTCGGTTTTAAGTGTTCGATTCCGCACCGGAATATTTGAATTATTTTGAATGAAAAATGCATGTTTACTGTTATGTTTGTGAATGTAATTTGGTCAGTGGATCAGCAGTACAAAAACTGATTTCCCAAAATAATTATTAGGGAAAACTCCTTGATTTTGATTTATTAAATTTACCACCCTGTATCTCGGAAACGGAGCAATTTCGGACAAAAGTAAGTTGCTTCACATCGGCTAATTTTGACCTATGTCCTAAGATTTTGTACAGACCTTTCAGGGAGTAACTGACCTTGTATAATAAGCAACTTCAATCTGATCGTAGATTTGGAATCAACTAAAAAAAATTCATAGGAACTTGTTGAAAACGGGATGTACTAAATTTTTCGTGAATTTTATTTGTTCAACTAATGAATTTGAATTTATGAAAATACAACACAACGAACGATAGTTTTTCGTAATAAATAAACAAGAAAAAATGATTTTTGGGTGTATGACAAATTTATCATACAGGACGTGGAAAGAAATTCTGAATTGAAGGAAACCTAATCCCGAATCTGCGATTGAAGGTCTATAAGAATAACAAGTTTCCATCGTTCAAGTTTGAACCCCTTGATTGGGTGAAATTATCGGGAAGGAATATTCCCAGAAAAAATTATGAACATGAAAAATAGATATATACAGGGTGGGTCACGGTAGATGGCACCTTAGACATTTACGGAGAACGGGACATAAGATCATTCTGAAAATTTGGTTACTCAAGTAATTGCTCTTGATCTACCGATCTAAAATATTTTCAGCTCTGCGGCGTTGCCGCTTCTATCAAAAAGTAGCAACAACTTTGTTATTTTAAAATGAACACCCTGTATTTTATTGCATCTTCAGATTCTCTCTGAAGAGCTGATTCCATCGATATATCACACTTGGAGTCTAGCGGAAATGTTTACAGAGATATAGGGGGTGAAAAATCGACATTTTTCAACTTAAGGAATTTTTTTTGTCGAAACTATTCATTATTGGTCAAAACGGCTCACATGTCCCCATCTCAACTTTTGATTAACTATCTACTGATATTCAATTGGGACATATACCGGGTGATCAAGAATCTGAATTCTGCACCACCCTGTATTTGTTTCAATTAAATGTCAGTAGATAGTTGATCAAAAGTTGGGATAGGAACATGTGAGCCGTTTTGGCCAATAATGAATAGTTTCGACAAAAAAAATTCCTAAAGTTGAAAAATGTCGCTTTTTCACACCCTATATCTCTGTAATCATTGCCGCTAGACCCCAAGTGTGATACATCGATGAAATCAGCTCTTCAGAGAGAATCTGAAAATGCGATGAAATACAGGGTGTTCCATTTGAAATAACAAAGTTGTTGCTACTTTTCGATAGGAGCGGCAACGCCGCAGAGCTGAAAATATTTTAGATCGATAGATCAAGAGCAATTACTTGAGTAACCAAATTTTCAGAATGATCTTATGTCCCGTTCTCCGTAAACGTCTAAGGTGCCATCGACCGTGACCCACCCTGTATATATATAAAGAAATACATTGAGAATTTGCATTCTCTATATGTGATGAAAATATCAATTCTTCCTCGGTTTTTTCAACAAAAAACAACCACTTTCCTGGCTATATGCCACGACGAACATTGAATTATATCCATTGAACCACACAATAAGAATTCGAGAACGAACAATTCTGAACATTACAGGATATCCCTTTTCGTGAGAACCACAGAACATGAAAAAATAATTTAAAAAAATATAAAGATATGTATAATTGTATATGCACATTATATTCCGTTTCAAGAAACAATCAATTCGAGGAAAACTTTAACTAGTATTAAAATACAATATAGGTAGTCCTATACGATTTTTCCAGTTATTTTGAATCTAGGATCAGATCAATAATTTATTATTGTTATACTGGGTCGATACTTACAAGAACAAAAATACTCATTCCACCCCTGATACCTTCCTGATACCAACTTATTCTTCAGTTTTTAGGTTACGAGAGTAGTTCATAAAACATTACTACGAGGTTATCAATAACAATAAAAACAGTTATGTCTTCATTATATTTCCATTTTTGGCGATATTGCTTCAGACAATTGATGAAAAAAATTCAAATAATATTTCATCAAATGGAATAACTGAAATTGTGCCAAAAACTTTCTCAACAAGTTCCTATAGTATTTTTCCAGTAGATTCATAATATGACCGCATATTTTCGATATTCTCACAGTAACTCAACATTCGAAAGATATTATATTCCGGTGCTGATATTCGTTTTGCATGTTCAGAAAGCTTCAAGCCTTTGAGGTCAATTTATGTACCAAATCTGAATTCAATTGAGTAATTCCTGTACTTAATATGGCAGATCGAATTTTTGTCAAAATCCACAAATCACTCTGTATGTCAATAACGAAGCGGTTTTAAACATTTGTGTATTGAATTCTACAATCATATTGGCAGTCCCCATAGCCGCATGAGTTCCGTCGGTTTTATCTCTGGACACCCTGTAGATTCGATATGATAAATACTTTAATTCCAGCTTATTTCAACCATTTCTCTAGCTTGATTACTGATCGAGATATTGAATCTTCTGAAACTTATTGGACAATCTACGAACAATGTAGGATTTTGTCTACTACACTTGTGTATACATATACTTGCCGTAATATAGTATTCATATTTCTCCCATATCTTATCTTTTATATCTGCACAATGGAAGTCAGGCCATAACCTGCAAGGGGTTGGATCAGATATAATTTCGAACTGGTAATTTTTCAGATATGTGCTGTATTGAATCCTATACTTTTCTATAACACCAGTCGGGGGGTAAGGGGATCGCCATCGAAGAGAAACTGAATTCATCTCTTTTGAGTAAGCTTCAATTATTGATACCGTATATGGAACTGAAAACATCAACAAAAGCAAACAATCAGTAATCTGCAGTGAAAGCCCATCTAGTATAGGTATCAGAGTTGAGTGGTTGATTCGATTATCTTCTTCGTATGATTTTACACCAATCAGAACGTTCAATTGAGTTAAGCTACCTTATATAATTTCGGATATATGTGAATATACATAGAGTATTTCCGCAACTCAGAAATTTAGAATTATTTCCATAGTAACCATTTCATATTGTTACATCCAAACAAAAAGCGTCGTGAAATATTGACGAAACATATGTTCAGAACTACTTAAAATATAATCGGATCGAATGAAATTCGAACTTCAAACTATTTTTGGTTATATATCTAAAATTTCCTGCATTATTACAAATCGTATCAGTTCAACTGTTAAACTGACACTCTTTGTAATTATGCAACAAGTTATCGATGTTTTACCGGAATATTTTGGTGTACTTATATTATACTACTGACAATATAAAGAGAGGAATTTATTAAGAATCAAATATTCCAAGGTACAATACGAGGTGATCTCTATGTATGGATACAAAGAAACAGTCATTGGGTTGTCTACACCAAATACACGAAGAAAAAAAAGTAGGTACTAACTCTAGGTGAATATTTAATGGTGGCAAGTAAAAACTTGTATACAATTGGAGACAAAGAAACAAGTTAATAGCCACAAGAATATTTGTGTTCCTGAAAATGTTCACCTACCACTACCAACCTGTTCCATTGAATTCTACACTGAGGGAAAAAATTTGTAGCCGTTACTGAACAATTAGTAACTACAACAGAAATTTTTAGTACGATAGGGGACAGCAAGCATTAGTTGTTGCCATAACTGATTCTGTTTATCTGGAAACGCCTATTTGCCTCAAATGAAAAGTTTAGTTGTGTCATCTACGACGTTGTTGTGGTAACTAATAAGCCTTTTCAAGGAATAATACCAAGTTTTATTTGCCACAATCAAGATACATAGTTATGACAATTAGATTGTTAGTACTGTTTCAATATATGTTTGTTATCACAACAAATTATCCCAGTTGGGGCAATTACTCATTTCTTCTGACGTTAATAGTGAGTGTGTTGTTGCAAATTAAATATTCAATTGTGACTGAAATGGAATCTAGTTACTATTAAAAGTGATTTAGTAACGTTTGAAATATAATTTAGTTATTCTGGCAACTTAATAGTTTTATATATCAATTAAAATCAAGGCCCCATTCTAATGATAACAGTTTGTATGCCATTTTCCTTCCAATTTCCAATGAAAATGTGAACAGGAATACACCACACACCGTAAGTGCCACAGGCCACAGCTCAGCAAAAAGAGAGGGAATTATAAATATACACCGTGTACACGTGACGTCGGTTGGACGTTTCTCACCGTCGCCCGTCATAAACTGAACTGAATTGTGAATAGGTACCTAATCCTGATAACTAGTGACGCACAGATAACGATGGTAAACTGCGAATTATTATTTTGCCAACCAAATGCCGAATGGCTCAGCGCGAAGTGCAAAAAAACAAAAAAACAGTGATTTGAAAACACACAGAGCAGTGAACCAGCAAGAACACGACGCTCCCGACTACACTAGACAATTATTTTATTTATTTTGTCTAAGCTCGACGACCGTGCGATCTATCCACTATTAAGATACAAGTTCAAATGATGAAACAGAAAGACAAACAGATGCAAGATGCAATTTTTGCCGGTGGGTCCCGAAGAGACGCGAGGCGGTTCCGAACGACGCAGTACAACTAAAATTATTAGTTATGGCTAAACAATTTCTGCTATGAATAATAATAAACCTTTTACGATAAATGTGTCATCAGTTGTGGCAAATAGTCAGCTGTTGTTAGTAACCCCAGAATGAGGTTTTTTAACCCCAATATGAAATTTTAATTGACTGAATAGACAACACTGTGATAATTCTGTCACAAATAGTATTTTTATTGATGACAAATAATTGACGAAAAATAGAAAAATCATTTGTAGGAAATAAGGATACGTTGTCATTGTTGATAAAATTCCAAATATTTTTAATTATCGGTACTAAAAAAATACCAACTAGACGTTTTAATTAACCAGTTTTTCTCAGTGTAGATTGATTACCGTTAGTGAACATTACACATGTTTTAGTGACTTATTCACTTGTCATGAGTGACTTATTCACTTGTCATAAGTGACTTATTCATTTGCGATTAGTGACTTATTCACTTGTCACTAGTAAATTGTTCACTTTTCGTTAGTGACCTGATCACAAGACATGACATCAGTGTTTTATTTACTCGTCATCAGTGACTTATTCACTAGTCATAAGTGACTTATTCATTACCTGTCATTAGCTAGGTACTATGAAAAATGACATATTTATAATGTTCTCTGAAAAATGATAACCTTGGTGAGAAGACAAAACTCGCGCATTCAAAGAATTTATTGCATGGCTATGATGAATCAAGAAATTACAAAAAGGTAAGGCGGACGACGAATATTGAGACACTATAGATACCGGGTATATCAGGATCATGGTCTGTGAAAAACAGTTCGTCAGATGCACTCGTGCAATTTTTTTTTTCTTTAGATGCTGATGAGAGAATGAAATTGAAATTAACTTTCATGCCCATCGAACGTCACTTTCTCCCACTTCGAGTATCATCGGAAGTGGAATATAGAATCCTGTGTATAGAGTTTGAACAATTTCAAATTTGAGCGATTTCCGATGAACACGAAATATTGAGACTATCAAACGTCCTCAACCCCCTAACGTTGCACACTGGACTCGCACTCAACATGATACATAACAGGAAAATTTTTCAGATATAAGTTCCATGATATTGTTGAAATAACATCGCAATAATGTTCTTCTGAAGTATCCAACATAATAATGAGAAGTAAAACTTTTGAGGGTTGCTCGTAAGGGGGCAACCGAATGACGGATAGAACAAATTTTAGAACAAATTTTTTTAGAACAAAACGTTGAAGAGACGTTGCATCAATAAAATAATCAATAATATTAGATAATATTGTAATATGTTGTTTCTAGGTTATTCAGATATCTCATATACAGAGTTGTTATGTTATGTGTGCAACGTTTCCGTTTCACCCCCTATAAAGTAGAGTACCTGTATACAAAATAAATTATAACCTTGTCAACTGTCAAGAGTCAATTCGATTCCATTCCAGCCATACATGGTGAACAGGTCAATCAGTTTGATCAGTGAAAATATTGATTTTCAGCTATTATTTTTAGTTATCAATAGTAAGTTGAGAACTGAACAAGTCTTGGACTCAAACAAATTCAAATGAAAATATGAATTGCTCATCATTATACCTACTTAGATTCCAGATTCCAGGTTTGCTCTGCTGGACTATAAATATACAACCAATCTGTATCTGTATTCCATGATATGTGAAAAAGTTGGAGAGATATCATAGCTAGAAGCAGAATAGATACTTCCAGAAACTCGTATATATATTTACCTATTACTTATCAGAATTCAAGACAATATGGTCCAGTGAGAGATCACTGGATTATGTAGAAGTCAAATATCTAAGCTACCCAACAAACAATGAACTACCGGAAATAAATTATTGGCCCATTGCTTTCTTCGCTGGGAAAATGACTCCAACAGCAAAAATATGTTGGCCTTTCACATTCTTGTAGTCACTTTGCCAGTGGAGCAGATAAGTATTGAGCCTTTATCCTTTAATTGACTTTGGTTTTGCCGGGAAAGACAACAAAATTGGTTACTCAATCTTCAAGAAGGCCAATGCTGGGCATTCAACTATGCCTATATGTTCCAGATAAACATTAATTTTGCTAAAGAGTGAATATAGTACCTTTTATATTTCCTACAATACCAATTGAATATCATTATCGAATAAAGTTGACTAGAATATTGAAAACTACGTTCAAATATCTAATAACATTTATTATCTCTACGATGCATGGAAATCAGGTTTCATTATTTTATACAAATTCTCTAAGATTCGTAGATATATGTATATGACTGAAAAAAAGATATCTGATGTCTGCATCCTTGATTTTTGACCTTGCAGAACTTTTTATGAAAGATGCTTTTTTTTTAGATTTCTTTCATAAAATTATTAATGAAAAATTTTAACATATGCATCGATAAGAAATTATTGTAAGAAATGATGAAACATGATTTTCAATGTAGGTAGATCTTATCAGATATTTGAACATAGCATTCAATTCTAGTCAACTTTTCTATATGATAATTTTCTATATTGTCAATAATAAGGGTACTCTACTCTTGAGCAAAATGTATATTTTTCGACATACTTACCTCGACATAAAAATGCGATACTTAAAAGATGTTCGCGTTTTTGTTTTTAGGCCTTGCAGAACTTTTTATGAATAATTACTTTCTTCCTAAAGCTAATAATAAGAGAGTTTTCCATTTGTCACCGACTTTTTCAGACATATACTGTATGCATTCCTAGAATGATCCAAAATCATCCGAATGGAATTATACAATGAATTATTTCTCTCAGAATATCAAAGTGTTAGTTGAAATATGATTATCAGAATATATTAGTTTGGAATATTCTCTTATCCGTTTCGATCCGTTTACATCCTACCGATAGTGACTTCATGAGTACGAGTACGAGTAGCTAGTCATGTTCTCTCTCATAGAAATTAACGTTCCCGTCGCGACCTTTTCTTGATGGCCTCGTATCAATGCTAGTTATTTTGCTGCAACATCTAGTTATGGGAGCAATGTATTAGGCCTTCATTTTACCGCAAATTAATGTTTGTTGCATGGTTAGGCAAGACTGGATTTATGAATCAGAATAACTAAAATGATACTTAGATAGTGGTCAATCTGTCTCAAAATATCACTGTGTAACTGGATTATCCATCTTTCAGGACTACGGCAAGATCAATTCATTAACACAGTTATATTCAGGGATAGATCATTTTCTCTGCCTTTTCTAATGATCATTCAGATGATTCTCCTGATGATTCCAGAAAAAATAGACATAACGTGAAAACACCTAGAAAACAATTATGTTGTTAATATACAATATTGTTTCGATGTTTTGAGTAACATTGTATATACGTTATGGAGTAACATTGATTTCATGTAATTCCTTATATATTTATATAACAATTACTATTGACATCACATTGTGATATTTAAAAGAGGCACAAAGGCCCATTGCCGCAACGTTTCTTTTGACATCAAGCATCTCTCTGAATAATATCACAAAATAATAACGTAATATAACATTTATGTTTGAGTTATATGTTTCAATGTTTAGTGGACATTGCAGGTGACTCTGGCTATCTGGAACCCCGTTATTCTTTCATCGAACGCGTCAGGAAATCTATATAGAAATTGTTCAATGGCGCGTTTCACCGCAGGTCTAAGAAATGTCACGAATTCACTCGGATTGTTCAGGAACTTTGTAGGTATACTTTCTCAGAGATGGTAGAATTATACACCATATCGTTTTCGTACCCTTACAGAGATCCCAAATAACCACAAGACAAGAACTATTCCAATCGGCAACCTTGTGACTTTCGAGCGAACATCTTGAGATCATTGATATACAGGGTCGCTGATATGTATGGAAACAGGTGAATATCTCGGTAACCGGTCGTTAGATTTTTTTGAATTTATGTACAGTGTGATTTCAAAATGTGGCGGATTTGAAAATGTTATAGCCAATGTTGCCACTTTTTCAGTTATTCCGGATTTTCATTAACTTCCTCATTTTGAATAAAACACCCTGTACTTTATTGGATTTTCAGATACTCCTTGAAGAGCTGATTCCATTGATCTATCACATTTGGGGTCTAGCGGGAATGATTACATAGGTATAGGGTGTTTAAAATCTAGATTTTTCAATTTCAGGATTTTTTTGTGTCGAAACTATCCATTATCGATCAAAACCGCTCTCATGTTCCTATCTTTACTTTTGATTTAGTATCTACTGACATTTAAATGGAACAGATACAGAGGTTGATCAGAATTCTGAATCTTGAACCACTCTGTATTTGTTCCAATTGAATGTCAGCAAATTGTAAATCAAGAGTAAACATAGGAACATTGGAGCGGTTTCCATCGATAATGGATAGTTTCGACATAAAAAATCCTAAAGTTGAGAAATCTAGATTTTAAACACCCTATACCTATGTTATCATTCCCGCTAGACTCCCAAGTGTGATAGATCGATAGAATCAGCTCTTCAAGGAGAATCTGAAAATTCAATAAAGTTCTGGGTGTTTCATTCGAAATAAAGAAGTTAATAAAAAATCCGGAATAACTGAAAAAGTGGCAACATTGGCTATAACATTTCCAAATCCGCCACGTTTTGAAATCAGACTGTATATAAATTCAAAAAAAATCCAACAACAGGTTACTAAGATATTCACCTGTTTCCATACATATCAGCGACCCTGTATTTATTTTTCTCCTCTGATCACTCTTTCCAGTATACGCATATTTTTAATTCAATTCAATCTAATTCACTTCGTGCCACTTACCGGTCGCTTTAGTTCGAAAAGTTTTAGATTCCATTCCGATCCAATCCTTCGCTTTAGGATTCCTCGAACCCTCCAAGAATACCGTATAATTCGAAAATGGTAACAACCCATTCAGAATATAATGTGGGCCGTTGAAATTATAAGTGTAATCTTGCACTGCTGTAGTATTAACACACCATTCGTGACCACAAGAAGCCTGAAGCCTGATATATATCTGACCCTCCAGATCCTCACAGCTCAATTCATTCAGCCCGATGCTAGCACTCTCATGGTATGGTTCCAGTGAAGCTATGGACATCTTCTCTTTATCTGTTAATTGCTCTAAAAACCATTATCAATATCTTGTATGCCCTTCAGGGATTCAAAGGGTACTTTAAATCCCTATTTCAAAAAGAGTACATTTTAAATCCATAGGAATTTGAAGAACCATTTTTTTCTCCGAAATATAGATCACCATAGTTACTGGGGTCGTTGATATAGTAACTATCACCCCCTTTGATGACGTTTCAGAAATGGAGTATCTACCGTTTATAGTGACATTAAATTTTTTTTCTTTATTTTCAACGTTAAACCTATCCTAAAGTGCATAAAATAGTATATACACCTCAGGAAAAAAGTGTTTTCGAATCCCTCGACAATTTATAGCCATCCCGTTGGCGAGCTATACATTTTTTGTCTCGAGATTTTAAATACCACTTTAGTCCCTAGGTGTATAATGTACTATTTTCTACAATTATGCAAAAAACAAACCATTATTGAACTATTTTCATTAGAAAAAGTGGTTCTTTATTGCACTCATCTGTCATTTTACTACAGCTGATCTTGACATGACTCACGTAAACGTTCAGCTAACTCGCGACATGTTTTGTCACTAGATTCTAGAGACAAGAAGAAACAAATAAATCGTCGAGAGTAATAATAATAATAATTATAATAAAATTTATTCATCTTTTGAGATCACACACAATGATATATGTCAGGATTACAGGTATCTACAAAAATACAAAAATACATAGAGTTGAAAATTAAATTCAATATGGCGCAGTATGCAAAGCATTGACTTGACACATATTATCAGTAGAAATTGTATACACGCACTTCTCAATTAAATAATTCTTGAGAGCTCTTTTAAAAATATTTTGGTCATTCAAGGATTTTATGGATAGTGGGAGATGGTTGAAGAATTTCATTCCATTATACTGTGGACAGTGCTCATATAGAGTGGTTGAATGTTTAGAGACACAAAATTGTTTTCCATGTCTAGTTGAATAGTTATGGAAATCTTGGTTTTTAGGAAATTCAGTGAGATGATTCTTAGCATACAAAATACATTTATAGATATATATTGACGGAAATGTTAGGATTTTGTGGTTTCTAAAGTGTTCTCTACATGTTTGTTGAAAGTCCAAATTAAAGATCAGTCTGATTATTCTCTTTTGCATGATGAAGACTCGGGATGCATTGGGTGAATTTCCCCATAAGACAATGTGATATGATATATGAGAGTAGAAGAGTGAGTAGTAAACTTGTAGAAGCTGTTTCGGATAAAGTGTATTTTTGAGTTGTAATAGAGCATAGTACGCACTGTTAAGTTTTTTACAGACGGTGTCTATATTAGAGGCCCAACTTAGATTACTGTCTAACATTACACCTAAAAATTGTGTTACCACAGATGGACAAATATCTTCCCTTTCCACTTTTACAGTGAATTGACTTGTTAGTTGATTTCTAGGGGAGAACTGCATGACTACAGTTTCAGTGGAATTTAAAATCAATGAGTTCTTTTTGCACCACAGAGTAAAATTTTCAGCCAATCTGTTTAGTTTATAAGCAAGTTCAGCAGGGGTTTCACCATCTGCAGCCAGAGTGGTGTCATCTGCATATAATACAGTATAATCTGCTTCAGTATGTATCGGGAGATCATTTACATATAATAAAAATATAAGAGGGCCAAGTACAGATCCTTGTGGAACTCCTCGTTCAACATCTCTGAATTCCGACCTGTTATTATCAATTTTCACACATATTTTTCTTGTTTCAAGATATGAAGATAGCCAGCTCAGAAAGACACCTCTAAAACCCAGTGCGTATAGTTTGTTCTCTATGATTGATATACCAATACAATCGAAAGCCTTTGACAGATCGAAAAAAAGTGCACCTACATACCTCTTTCTATCAAGTTGACTATGAATGTGATTAAAGAAACCGGTTGTTGCACTCTCTGTCGATCTGTCTGGTAGAAATCCATGTTGATGGTTTGTAATAATATTAGAGTTTTGTAAAAAGGATAACATGTGTTTGTAAATGGATTTTTCAATAACCTTGCAAAGTATTGTAGGAACGGTGATTGGTCTGTAATTCTCCAGGGAAAATTGGTTACCTTTTTTAAAAACCGGTGTTACGACACCAAGTTTGAGATCAGAGGGAAATTTTTCTAGTGTGACGGATTGATTTATTAAATATGCCAGAGGGTCAGATATATTAGGACTGATATGTTTTATAATTTTTGTAGGGATACAATCAATTCCTACTGTATTAGTTGATTTTAGTGCAAGAATGATATCTGATACTTCAAATCGATCTACCCCTATAAAATGAAAAGTATCTTGAATATACATAGTGGTGTAGTTTGTGAATATAGTATTAGGGAAATGTTTACCTATAGCAATACTAGCACAGGATGCGAAATGTTCAACAAATGCATTTGCCATATATTTTTTGTCATCGATAAGATCATCTCCGATTTGTATTGACTGGATATTTTTTGAGGCATTGTTTTTACCAGTTTTTGTATTCACCATTTTCCATATGAATTTCTGTTTTTGTTGAGGAGTTTTATTTTCTAGAGAACTCTGAAAAGAAGTCATTTTAGTCTCATTTACTTTTTTGATATACTGTTTCTTCTGTGTTTTATAGTTTTGCAGAATAATTGGATCAGAGGTGTTTTTTGACAACCAGAATAGATTCTTCAAGTCATCTCCCATCTTCACAATCTCATTTGTAATCCATTTAACAGGGAAGTGCGTGTGTTTAAATTTTTTTGTTATCATTTGGCAAGTCAAATCCATGAAGTACGTTAATGTATTAATAAAAGTTGCAAAAGCTTGATCAATATCATTTGGATAGTGGAATATCTCAAGAAAATATTCCAATTCTATTTTCAATAGCAGGTTCGATAAGTTTGAGTTGGACATATTTCTAAAAGTGAGTAGTGTATCATGATTATCGATATTTTCTGGTATCCTGATATGATCAAACTTGATATCAAGGCCGAAATGGTCACCAAGTGATAGATCAACAACTGACTCTTGATACTGGATTGAAGGGTGAATCAGGAAATAGTCAATTTTAGATTTTGAAACATGACCATTTTTGTCTATGGCAACTCTTGTAGGTTCTATATTTTGACAGGACAATTTAAAACTTTCTATAAAATCTTCAAACATTATTTTATCATGCGATTCTTTCAGGAAATTTACATTAAAATCACCACAAATCAGTATATAAGTGTAACGGTTTATCACTTTTGTTAAAATATTAGACATTTTTTTTATGAACAATTCAAGGTTGCCAGTGGGTGATTTGTAAACATTAAATAAACAGAAAGTGGCGTTTTTCAATTTAAAGGATACTCCACAGCATTCAAAGTGCTCATCCTCAGCGAAGTTCTCAAGAAAATGTATGCTTTTAGTTGGCAGTGATTTTTTGGTATAAATAAGAGTACCACCATGGAGTTTTGTGGATCTGCAATATGTATCTGCTATTTTATAACCACTGAGATTTATAGATTCCAATGAATCAATGACACACCAACACTCAGATACACAGAAAATGTCTGGCTTGTCACGTTCCAAAATTACTTCAATGCGATTCATTTTGTTTTTTATTGATTGTGTATTTACTGAAATAATTCTTAGTGTGTTCCAACTTGGGTATTCACTGGAGTCTGAGTTGGAACTGCTTTGGAGTTCTGTGGCTGGGGACCCAACGTCCTTGTTGTGGTCCCTTTCTTCATAAAAAAACGATACTAGAGCTCCATTTGGCCAGATTTCTCTTTGCCATGCAGTTTTCAGTTGATCCTGCCTTATAGTCACCTTCATGGAAGCGTAAATTTCTGGTTGTTTCGATAGATGAGTTTCACAGTTGACGCCGTCTAAGTGTGCTTTAAGAAAGTCTTTCAACTCTTCTGGTTTAGTTGTTGGTTTGAGTCGTGTTACATGTAGGTATATCAGTTTAGGGACCGTCTCGACTCGACATGGTGTTTCTGTTTTGCCAACTAAGAATTTTCTTCTTCTTTTATGAACAACTTGGGACCATTCGGCATAAGGCGGTTCTAGGTTTTCAGCTTCTGAATTCTGATTTTGTTGAAGATTTCTCATTACCGTACGTGACTTGGCTTCTAAGACAGCCATGCTAACTTGCTGAGAGGATATGGGTTCATGGTTCTGGTTTCCCTCTTTGTTCTTAATTTGTACAATACTCGCATAACTTGGCAACGATTGTACCTGGTTCAGTGCCGACGTAGCTTTAGCCACTACCAGATTCTCTGTTTCCACGTCCACAAGGTCACCATTATCATCTATCTTCTTTTGAACGCGTTGAACTGGGATGTTCTCGTTCTGCTTGTTTATATTCTCACTTTTTTCTAACTGTAAGATTTTTTTCTGTAGTTCACGAATTATGAAATTCTTATGGCTGATTATTGTCTTGAGATATGTAATTTCCTTCAATACAGGGTTTTCATCCAGATTCGATAGATTGTCAGTGAATAGGTCATCTGGAGCATCACAACTTGTTGATTCTTGAGTTGCATCATCAGAGTTATCACAGCAGATCATCATTCCCCCATCCACAAATTTAACATTTTTTATTCTTTTGGCACAACTAGGATGTGCATTCATATCACAAATACTACATTTAATTCCACTTTTCACTATTTTATTATAATATACACAGACGTTACTCGGCACGTCCTTCTCACTCCCCGCCATCTTACAGATATCTTCCGTAGCGGAGGGATACTACGTAGAGGAATCACTTGCAAACAAACTCATCAATATTGCAAAACATATATCTCAGCCTGAAGACGATGACAATGAACAGATGCAGATACCAAGTACTTATTATAGTACGTTCAGAGAGGTCGCAAATCAAGAAGTAGAATTTAAAAATGATTAGATAGAAGAAGAATGATAGAAATATAAATAGGTATTGAAAATTGTACAAATTGTACATTACTTTAAACATTAGTGGTAAAAATAATGTTCGAGTCAAATTGTTCCCAATGTATTAGTTCTTCTTTCCCAATGCAAATCGATAGTGATAATTAATTACTAAATATTTTGCTATTCAATTACTCTTTTAATTCTTCTACACCAATTAGTGTCACATCAATGAAATATGTTTTTTTTTGTCATGAACGCAAAAAAAAAATTGTATGCAACTTGTGCAAATAAGTGTTTATTGCGCTTCACATATTGTCCAACAAATTTACGTCGCGTGCAATAAACACTTACTTTTTGCACATGTTGTATAAATATCTATTATGCACTTCAGGGATTCAAAGGGTATTTTAAATCCATATTTTCTGCTAAACCATTGGTACTTTATATTCCTTGGGATTTGATGTACATTCTAAATCTCTATAGGGATTAAAAATACCACTGTTTTACCCGAAATCTGGATCATCATAGTTACTGAGGTCGTTGATACGGTGACAATCAGCCCCTTCGATGACGTTTAAGTAAAAGAGTTTACCGTTTAGCGGTATTTGATTCTTTTCTCGTTATTTCGGTCGTTTTATCTATCCTAGAGTGTATAAAATAGTATAAACACCTCATCAGCACTTAAATCTCTCGACGAATTATATATCTACTTTATGTCTCCGGATTTGAAATTCCCTAGGTGTATAATGTACTATCAAGCACTCCAGGGATTCGAAAGGTACTTTAAATCCCTATTTTCAGGAAAAAAGTTGTACTACAAATCACTTGGGATGTGAAATGTACTTCAAATCCCTAGGTATCGGAAGTATCATTTTTTCCCGAAAACAGAGATTTAAAGTACCCTTTGAATCCCTAGGGATTCAAACTGAATTTCTCTGCTATAAAATCTGAATTCAGAAATTAATTTCCAATAATAATTTCAAACAGAGAAAGTCATAAAAAAAATCAAGTTTAGCAGGTGGAGCAAGCACAAACGAACAGGCCTTATCAGTGACTTCGATGCATGTATTTAGAAATCCTTGAAAGGTACTGCTCAATTCAATCAATATTCAGGGAAAAATGTATTTCGCATTCCCTTTGATGAAAATTTATGTCATTTTTTGAGAGTCCGCTACTGACCACGTTTTGATATTTCAAATAATAACAAAATCAATTATCTGAGTTCCATCTAACTGCAATTTTTTTATAATTTTTCTTGGTTTTCAAGATATTTGACATGAATTCATTTTGGTGCTTCCCCATACTTGTTTATGATGTTTGTTTTATGATGTTTATCATGTGTCAGGATCATATACTGCAAGTGTTAACCTCATTTGTGTCGAGTTATTGACGACAATAATAATACTTATGAACTATTTGAGCATATGATAAAGTTATTGGTCATCTTCAAATTTTTTTGTTTTTCTCGATAAGTTTTTTGGCGAAAAGAGAGAATGAGAGGAAACGACCAGTTCCTAGATCATCTGATGACGAGCTTATGAAATGGTAAACATGAATATTTTGGTCAATAACTCAACAAAAATGAGGTGAAAATTCGCGAAACATGATAGATAATCCTGACATTATAAAAAAATATGCAGAAGCACCAAAATCAATTTTGTTATAGATATCCCGAAAACCAAGAGGAATTTCAAAATAACTGCAGAAAGTGAAAAGTTAGATAATTGATTTCGTCGTTTATTGAAATATCTAAATGTAGTCAGTGGCGTACTTCAAAAAATTTACATCAATTTTCATCAAATAGAATGCGAAATATCTATTTCCCTTTATATTGATTGAATTGGTTATGACATGTTTTTCATGCACATTCATACTACTGAATTGCCCTACGAATTTGAGAGTAGTACCTCCCATGTATTTTGAAATATTTAAAAAAATCTGGAAATACAATTATTTTTCATTGCCCTCTCACGGCTCAACGGTGCATTTTCTTATAGAGGTTAGTTGAATTCAATCGATCTATTTTGGTCTCTAGTTCAACCTGAAGAATTTATAGTAAGTCGTTGTGGGTCACCTTGTACAAATAATGAATCAGTAGTCATCTTTTCATAAGAAACAGAACGTATACATATGTTTTTGGGAGTTGTTTTGCCTCGGCTCTTGACCTATTGTGAAACGCCTATATATGCATATCCAAACCTCCAGCACATCCATTCGGTGCCAACCTTGAACTATGTCGAACATCACTTTACCAACACTCGTTCGTCTATAGAACCGCAAAGCTTTGAAATTCTTCACAAATGGAAGTATTCCTATGAACTTATAACCTCCAGAAGTTGAAGAAAAAAATCCATACCTATACCTCCACTCATTATTCTTTCTAGCCATGCACGCACGATGTTCGTCGAAAATTATAAGAATTTCCTGTCGTGTGCTCTAAGAGATAAAAAAATCATTATTTCCTTATTTATTTAGGTTAAGATCTGAGTTTGGTATAGGTGAGTTAGAATATCAAATGAGAACATAGACTTTTATGCTAAATCAAATGCGAATGAACAAAGTATTTTCAGATTTGCAGAAGACTTTCATGAAGACAACCTGGATTGACTTTTAGCAACTGGAATAAAATGAAAATAAAATGGTTATATTGGAATTGAACAAAATATTGAAAAATTAATCGAAATCCATAGGTTCGTATACCAAATGAAGATGATGGATAAATCGTAAATTTTTGATTACGTTTCGACTACTGATACGTGAAAACAAGAAAATATAAGTCACAAAAATAGTATACCAGATGGCAAAGTACTAGCATTAACTGTCAATGGGTCTCCTGATCCAAAACTTGTGAAAGCTCGAATAGTTATTCCATATGAAGAATATGATTTCAAACTATATAAGCTTATCATTGGCGTCGCGGCAACTTCTTCAACTCCTGGATCGACGATGGTATTTCTTTCAATAGTACAAGGAACTCTATGAAGTAACTGAAATAAAAGGGAAAATGATTATGAAGGAATATAAGAGAGATGTTTTATAGGGTGTCCCAGAATAACGTACAATATGATCACTGGAAAACTGAAAGAAGTTAAATCAATTTTCTTCAAGGAGAATGCAGAAAATCTACATATTATTATTCCCTGATAGCACAATTATGTCCGATAGGTATATTCAGGAGTTCCTGTCGAGACATTCAGGACGTCTATAGGACGTTCGAATTTGGTACCGCGGATGTCCATTGAACGTCTGTGGGACGCACGAATGTACCACTTGAGGACCAAATAGGGACGGCCTTGAGGGATGTCCATGGGACACTATCGGATACTAAAATCCTACAGTATTTCTCACTAAGCACTACGGAATACATCCCTAGGACATCCGTAGGACAACCTATCTGCAACGCTGAGTGATATTATTCGGAAGTTCATTGGATGTCCGAGGGACGTACAAATTATTCGATTTTTTTGGGTCTTCATAGGACCAGATCTTGATGATGAGGACATCCTGTTGAGTTGATGTTCCGTAGATGGTCCCCAATAGATCCTGGAGAAGGTTTTCAAGAAGTCCCATCAGAGAAGTTTACCAAGGATGTCCAATGGACTCACGTAAAGGACATTGACGGGGAGTATTTATAGCCTACGAGCAGTCATTCGTCGGTGTGGTGTAAGTTAACATCCTCACGGGGAAACATATTGAATGTAACGATTGGGACATCCGAAGGAGGCTATTTCTAGGAAATTGGAAGAAAAAGATGATCATTCGCTTGCGTGACGGACATTTATATAGGATGTATATCTGAAGTCCTGATGCCAATGTATACCACCAATGGATGTCCCTGAGATGATGTCCCTTAGGACACACTCCTTATATATTGTATATCCAGGTTATACTGAGAACGTCCTTGAGACGTACATAAGACGTTGTACTCATGATGTCTCATTAAATTATATTCTCCGAATCATATATTTGTACTTATTACACAAGTGAACTTGTACCAATTGGGACATTCGACGGATATCCTCAAGGGACATTCGACGGATGTCCCTATGGGACATTTCGAATAATATACGATCCTGAATCCATCCGTGCAGAGATATTTGAAGGAATGTATCGGTCACAAAAAAACCGGAAGTTTTTATTTTCCTCCTCCAGTGGAATATTTGAAAATTTTATAATGAACAAAAACAAAATGGCGCATTCTACCAAAGTATTGTCATTTACAAAAACCGCTGGAGAAGAAGAAAATCAGATTTTTTCCAACCTGTACCGATGTCATCTTAGGCTATTCATTTCTGAAGAGAATGAGTACTCGAACATCGAAAACGAACAAATAGTCCAGTAGATACACTCATTTCTTTGCAATTTGTTATGGAGTGAATGTGCTAATCTCGTATAAAGGATTATTATTATTTTTCTACAGGCTTCATGAAAATTCAATTGAATTTGGATTTCTCAGAGTTATTTCGAAGATAAAGAACTGTAGTACACAATGGAACATTTGAAAATCCAATAACTGAAAGAAACAAAATGGTGGAGTATCCAGAATTTTTGTGATTTTCAAAAATCTCTGGCGAATAAAAAAATGATCATTCTTCCAATCAGGACCGATACAATTTTAGATCATTGATTTCTAGAAAGAATGAGCACTCGTACATCTGAATCGAACAATTAGTCCAGGAGAAACACGTTCTTTTTGGCGAAGTGTTATGGAGTAAAAAATGTGCCAATCCCGTGATAAGAATTACTTTTAGTTTGCTTCTGGCTTTATCAGAATTCAATCGAATTTGGATTTCTTAATGCCATTCCAAAGCTGAATAGCTGTAGTACACCGTGGAACATCTGAAAATTCCATAATTGAAAAAAAAACGAAATGGTGGAGTAGCCCTAACTTTCGTGATTTACAAAAACCGCTAGCAAATAAAAAAAATTTGATATTGACATCGAGATGTAAGTCCATGAAGATTGCGTGAAACACTGAAAATATATAAAACTTTATACTAGTTGTAGTCAAAACGAATTTTGAAATGACCTGAATGTGTCTCCCTTTTGCTTCAACTACGAAACTGAGCCAGCTCTGTATCGACCGGGCTATTTCTAACTCAAGCATCGCATTTTCCACGCAATAATCAATTATTTGCTTCAAATTTTCCAAGTTCTCGAAGTTTCTTCCATTTGTAAATACCCGTTCCTGTAAGGTACCCCAGACATTAAAATCTACAGAGTTCTAGTCCGGGTTATTTGGAGTCCACATTGTTGGTTCGATTAGATAAGGAACTCTGTTATTGAGATAAACAATAGTTGCGGGTGCCGTATGCACAGGAGTACCATCCTATGAATTTAAATAATGAATCATGTTATGTTATTGTTGCTGTTAGTATGTTGTAATCAGATGGAAATATATTTTTAGAAGTTCGTTTTTCGGCACATTCACTCCATAACATTCCAAAAAAGTGTGTACAAGTTCTGGACTATTTGTTAAATCCAGATGTTCAAGTTCTCATTCTCTTTAGAAATTAATGATATAAAATTACTACGGTTCTGAATTGAAGAATTAACATTTTTCTATTCGCTAGCGGTTTTTGGAAATCACTCAAATTAGGGATACTCCAATTTTTTGCGATTATGGAATTTTCAGATGTGCCACTGTGTACTAATGAATACAAATTCGATTTAATCTTGATAAAGCCAGGAGCAAACTAAAAGTAATTCTTATCACGAGATTGGCACATTCGCTCCATAACACTTTGCCAAAAAGAACGTGTTTCTCCTGGACTAATTGTTCGATTCAGATGTTCGACTGCTCATTCTTTCAAGAAATCAATGATCTGAAATTGTATCGGTCCTGATTGAAAGAATAAACATTCTTTCATCCGCCAGAGATTTTTGAAAATCATAAAAATTCTGGATTCTCCACCATTTTATTTCTTTCAATCATTGGATTTTCAAATGTTCCATTGTGTAGGTACTACAGTTCTTCATCTTTGAAATGACTCTAAGAAATCCAAATTCGATTGAATTTTCATGAAGCGTGAAGCAAAATAATAATAATCGTTTATTCGAGATTAGCACATTCACTCCATAAGAAATTGCGAAGAAACGAGTGTATCTACTGGACTATTTGTTCGATGTCGATGTTCGAGTACTCATTCTCTTCAGAGATGGATAGCCTATGATGACATCGGTACAGGTTGGAAAAAATCTGATTTTCTTTGTCTCCAGCGGTTTTTGTAAATGACAATACTTTGGTAGAATCCGCCATTTTGTTTTTGTTCATTACCTATGAAATTTTCAAATATTCCACTGTATACTATAGCCCTTTAGCTATGAAACGACGCCAAGAAATTCGAATTCGGTTGAGAAATGATGATCCGGTTTTTTTGTGACCACCCGATACAGTTTGGGACATTTCTGGGTTGTTTACAAGTGACATTATATAAGATCTGAAGTCATGCCAGAAAATGTACTACTTGAGAAATTCGCTGGATGTCCCTAAAGGAACGTTTGAAATTATAACCCATCAGGAACATGCCAAGGTCGCCCTTTCATAGACACTCTACCATGTGAAACGTCTAAGGGATGCTATTTTTAGGACATTTGAAATGATGTACCAGCTAGGACATGCCATGGACATCCTCCCAGGTAGAACATCATATTGGCTAGAACTTGGTTTCATATTAGCCCAATATTCGAATATTGAATATGGAATTACTAGATTGCACCAATATCAAACCAATTTTTCATTTCAATATTCGATCATCAATCCATTGCCAATATTTTAATAACATTGAAATTTTGTGACCAGCCGATATCAATTTGTCAATATTTATTTGATATTGGAGGAATATTAACGATCACAATATGTCAATTTTCATGATGGGCTGATATTGCATTTCCAATATCAAATCGATCTTGGCAAAAAATATTGACTCAATATCAAATTTATGATGGTTAGTGAATATTGTATTTCATTGTCCAGCAATGTTGTAATAACATTGAAATTTTGTTTCCAGCCGATATTTATTTACCAATATCTATTCGATATTGGTGAAATATTGACGATCACAATGTCAATTTCCATGATTGGGCTAATATTGTATTTCCAATATTGAATCAATCATGGAAAAAAATATTGCATCAATATCAGATTTATGATGGTTGGTGAATATTGCTCTTCGTTGTCCAGCAATATTGCACTGATATTGGTGATTCAATATCATTTCGATATTCAATAATCAATCCAGTGCCAATGTTGTAATAACATTGAAATTTTGTGACCAGCCGATATCAGTTTGCCAATATTTATTTGATATTGGCGAAATATTAACGAATACAATATGTCAATTTTCATGATGGGCTGATATTGTATTCCCAATATCGAATCAATCTTGGAAAACATATTGTATCAATATTTTGTATTTTTATTCATCCAATATTAGTTCATCAATATGCGACCCATTTCAGATAGATAAAACTAATGAAATATGCCAGAACCAATATTGCACTGACATTGGATTTCTAATATCGAATCGATATTCGTGATATTTCTCTTAGTATTTGAGCTACGTTATAACAGCTGGCGCCACTAGCACGCCTCCAACAAACGACTGCTGAGAGACATCAAATACCGCATTCGTTCAACTTGCAAACTAAGTATTCTGGGATACAGGAAACGAAAATGGATTTGATATTGTACAAATATCGCAATTTTTTAATGAGGCTAATATGGCTTCGAATTTTGATTTCGAGTTTTGTTGAAAAACGAAATTCAATATTGGTTGAATATTATAATTCAACATGAAGATAATATTGCAAAATAATCACATCCTCATTTTAGCCAATATAGTAGGGGAATATGAATTCAATATCGATTTCACATATGAAAATTATAAGAAACCAGTTTTCTATAAGTTGGCATCATATATTTGTCCAATCTTGTATACGAATATTAACTCGATATTGGATAGAGCATATCGAAACAAGATTGAAATTCAACATAGCACCAAGATTCCAAAATGTTCACATTCTCATGTTGGTCCAATATACGAGGCAAATATGAATTGAATATTGTATATAAATATAAACATGGTATTGAACGAAGCATATCCAAACAAGATTGGAATTCGATATTATATCAAGATCTCAGATTGTTCACATTATTTTCTTGGCCCAACATTCGATATCAATATTTTCCCAACATTCGCTTATATTTTTCCAACATTCAACCAATATTAGTGTTCTGCCTGGCGCTTGGTCGGAAATTGCATGAGATTTACGGTATGGGTCGTCCCAAGGACACCTATTTTAGGTTCGGCAATTGTACCAAATAGGGACGTCCTAAGGACGTTGATTTCTATTAGAGAAAATTGAATTGGTATGACATGTCTTACAAGCAAATTCACGATAGTAAATCGCCCTTCGAATTTCAGAGCAGTGGATTTCGAAATATTGAAGAATAAATACTGTTCGTAGTTTAATCGAGGAGGTGTTACATTCGGTTACATTCGTTTCATTTGATTATCTGGGATTTTCTCTCCTCGTTTCTACAAAATAAGAATATGAGTATTATTTCAATATATGTGTAGTAGGACAAATCAGATGATTTGCCTCAAAATGTCACCGCGTTCAACAGATTTTTCTATCTAAAAGACAAATCCAATAGCTTGTCAGTGACACTTTGTTTGAAAAAAAGTTTGAAGAGAAGAAATATAGATATATTGAATAAATATCGTTCCTGTAATGTCCAAAGCTGAGTAAAAAATCGATATTCTTCCAATAGGTATGTCTATATTTCTTATCTTCAAACTTTCTTCCAAACAGATTGTCACTGACAAGCTATTGGATTTTTCTTGTAGGTTTCCTGATAGAAAAATTTGTTAAACGCAGTGACATTTTGGGGCAAATCATCTGATTTATCCTACTACACATATATTGAAATGTTACTCATATATTTATATTGAAGATACGAGAAGAGAAGATCCGAAATAATCAAGTAAAATGAATGTTCAAGAATATTTGAAAATAAAGTTATTCTTCATCATTCGCTCACTGCGCATTGGTGAGTCGATTTCAATCGGCCTATATTTTGGTTTTTCGTATAGAATTTATGGCACGTTATTCTGTGACACTCTGTTTCTATCATAGATATATAAAAGCGGATCAATGGTGACAAAATACTTCGTGATTGTTTTTTCATGTCAATATAGAGTGGAAATAACTATGAAGTCGAACACCTGCAATTTTCGCTCAGATTCATGAGTTTATAACTTCCGAACAAACTAACCGATTTCAATTCAGTTTCCAGATTTCAGAAGCTTGTTTCATTGGTTTCCGAATTATTCATTAGGAGAACGAAAGAACGCGTGAATAAATATTTCACAGGACGATGAAAGGCACACTGCAAGCTTGCATCGAATTTGGAGAGATCTTATTCCGCCCAAGAATTTTTTTTCTGAATGAAAATGAAAAACCATTCCAAATATTACATCAGACTCCATGATACAATATGAGAAAACCGAGAAACAATTTTTTGGACGGAATGGGATCACTCCAAATTCTATACAAGTTTGCAGTGTGCCCTGTGAAATTTTTATTCTCAAATTTTCTCATTATTCGAATTCATGCATAATTCTGGAGCCAATAAAACGGTCTTCTGGAATCTGGAAACCGAATTGAAATCCATTGATTTTTTCGAAGTTTTCATCTTTCGTATCTGAGCGAAAATATCAGATGTCCCATTTAAATTGCGGGGCACTGTAAATATTACCATGTATTTTGAATATACTCAAGAAATCATACCTTCGTCTCTATTCTGTATTGAATATTCCCATTTTTATGTTTTGGTTCGATCCAAGAAATATTCAGCCCATGGGCTGAATTCGTATATGTTATATTCCTAACCTCGGAAGGTTCTGAAAAATAATAATGAAGAATCAGAATACCTGGGTAACAAAACAAATTGTGAGTTTGAGAATTCCTCTCATTAACTGCTTCACAAATGTAGTGGTCCACCTGAATATTCTGGAATGATTTTTTCCATGTAATGTGCAAGAATGAGATGGCTTATTCACTCACCCGCAACATTTATATCTTCAGATCTACAGAGGGAAATATAGAATCATTATAGAAATAAATATTTTCAAAGTTGTTCAATCATATGGAAACATTTTCGGATTTTTTTCTAGTATAATTACTTGATTTGTTTCGTCGAAACGGTTTCGTAATGTTTTCACTCGGCAGACCTCATCAAAGCGCAAAAATACATATGACTGATGATGAAATATTCATTTCAACACGAGTTACGTAATATAAATATGGATTGACGAAGAGAATAGTGGATTTTGTGCTTCTTCGGAAATCTGAATATGTATCAGCTATTTTCCACTCATGAAGATATTAAATGAGTCTATTTCATGATTTTTGTAGCTGATTTGTGGCCATATTATTGTTTGACGGATACTTCAAAGTGACAGGCGAAGTCAACTTGCCAATATACTGAATTTTGTCATCGAACATCAACTTTCAGACAAGAAGGCTCACTCACGGCGGCGCCGCGAATAACTCCCTCTGGAAGATCGGATATGCGTATTATATCAAGTATACCGATTGTCCCGTCACGTAGGTCTCGGTTCCATTGTTATTTTGAAATACTCGAACTCATTTTGATACTACGTTTATTTAATAAATCAACATGGAAATCTGTATTTTCAAATGCGAATGAGTAATTTGTTGAAATAGTAATTTATTATACAAGTGAAAAAAGTATCAGATTTTAGCTCGAGAGCTAACATCTGATTTTTTCACCGTGTACCTATAATATACTATCTGTTTCTGTGATGAGATTACCGACGATTTAATAATAATACTAATTTGAAGTTTATAACTGGTAGGCTGTTGTATATACTTATCAACTGAGAAGAAGCCAAAATGCTCAAAGTTGAATGAAATGTTGGATAAATAGATGCAAAACCCGAAGTAATTTCCACATATGCTCGGGAAATGAACAACAATGGTAGATGACGGGAGAAAAACAACTACTTTCCTGATTAGTGACTCTCAATAAGGGAGGGTAACAGTCGTTTTATGATGTTCTTCAGCCTTGGCACTCCTTCAGAACATCATATTAATTGTGCTTTCTGTTTTTTTTCTCATTATCTCTAGAGCCGCGTTACAGTTTTCAATTTTCATTTGCGAGGTGATCGATTGCTGCAAGTCATATTTCTACGTTTTCACCATGAATCGGAAAGACCCACATGCAATTTCTTCTTATAAAGAACAATTTTTATGCTTCTTATTTTTCGAGTTTGGAAAAAGAAGCCATGGTAACAGTGACAATCAATTTGAATCTGGAGATGCATAATCAATAATGCTAAACACCGAGAATCCAACATAACGACAGCTCTCCTAAATGTCACTAGTCAGTAGGCACGCAATGAAAATTGCTGCAATCTTCTTGGAAAATTACGAGCTGTTGCAGCTAGTAATTTTGATTTCTTGCATGGTAATTCTCTTGAAGATTTTATTCCAATTATTTTTTGAATATTAAATGAAATGAAGTTCTCTTGTTATATGCTCTAGAGGAGAGGGGGTGTTTACCCCCTATAATCCCCCGTAGGACCACCCTTTATAGTGACTATTTCACTTATCTCAAAGAAACTCGTATTGACGTGGAAACACTTGCCGTCTTTCAATTATGATTGGTCTATCAGCGTTGGTGTTTTCAACGATGTATCCAAGAATAAGGAAGCAAAATAAGATATTTATAGCTGTAGATGTCAGAATGAATCGCTTTGGTTATATGGCTTGTTCATTTATTATAAATGTAATAAATGAAATAGTCTAGAGGAATATCACTCTTTTCTGAATATCTTCTCATGATTTTGTCTTTCATCATCAACTCCAATTGTGTCGCAGTATAGCAATACCACTCGTCCTGACGGACTCCTCGTGTTGCTCGACAACACAATAACGTTAACAAAGCAATAGAATATCATTTCAAATATCCAGAACATCGTGATATCATTATGATAGTTGGCAATCAATACAATTCAAATGAGTAGATTGTAGAAACGAATAGCAGAAGTTGCGAAGAAAAATTTCATAGGTTTTTCGGGAAAAATACAAAAATCAAGCCAAAAATATTGAATTGATTAATTATATGTATATCAGCTTTGGAGAAATTCATCATACCAACACAAGTTATGAGTCCTTAGCTTTTTCAAGTAGAAAAGTTCCTATCAACGTATTTTATAAAATGCATTTGAGCTACTGGGTGCAGAATGTAAGAAAAAAAATGGAATCAGAATTTTTTTCACGAAAAATGGCTGTGGCAATAAAATTGTTCAAACTATCCTAGGTAAGTCAACGGAATAATTCGTTGTTTTTAATTTCAAATTTTCCCCTTATATTTCAGATTAATCGAAAGAATATTCTGAATGTAACAAAAAAATATTCATCGCGGGAAAACGGATTGAATGGCTCACGGTCATATTATGATGTAAATAAATGTGAAAAGCTCACAGTCATTTCCACCCAGTGTTCATAAAAAAATGAAAAACAATGGTAGATTTCGGGAGAAAAACAACTACTTCCCTGGCTAATGCCACGCAGGATATTGAATTACATCCTCCCGAAATCTATGCATCGACTCGTTTAAACGAATACTGATACAAGTGATTCTTTCCTGAATGCCTATTGATTTCAATTAAGCCAGGCCGCTAGACAACCACAGACCGGTTTCGAGCTCTTTGACTCTCATCAGTGCAGTGTAGTCTCCAGCCAGCAGTCCTAAGACCGCCGACTCAGCGAAGCCTAGCCAAACAAAAATCAAGTTGGCATTATATCCACCCCGAGGCGTCTCTCATCGATAAAATGAAAGTAACGCCATCTGAGTAGAACCGAGGAAAGAATCACTCCAAAACTGAAATTCCCATACGGGAGTGGCTGGCAGCCCGACTGACGTGATATGAACTACGAAATAGCCACAATGCTCACAGTGGAATGAAATAGTAAATAAATGTGAAAAGCTCACTGTCATTTCCACCCAGTGTTCATAAAAAAATGAACAACAATGGTAGATTTCGGGAGAAAAACAACTACTTCCCTGGCTAATGCCACGCAGGATATTGAATTACATCCTCCCGAAATCTATGCATCGACTCGTTTAAACGAATACTGATACAAGTGATTCTTTCCTGAATGCCTATTGATTTCAATTAAGCCAGGCCGCTAGACAACCACAGACCGGTTTCGAGCTCTTTGACTCTCATCAGTGCAGTGTAGTCTCCAGCCAGCAGTCCTAAGACCGCCGACTCAGCGAAGCCTAGCCAAACAAAAATCAAGTTGGCATTATATCCACCCCGAGGCGTCTCTCATCGATAAAATGAAAGTAACGCCATCTGAGTAGAACCGAGGAAAGAATCACTCCAAAACTGAAATTCCCATACGGGAGTGGCTGGCAGCCCGACTGGCTTCATTTTATCGATGAGAGACGCCTCGGGGTGGATATAATGCCAACTTGATTTTTGTTTGGCTAGGCTTCGCTGAGTCGGCGGTCTTAGGACTGCTGGCTGGAGACTACACTGCACTGATGAGAGTCAAAGAGCTCGAAACCGGTCTGTGGTTGTCTAGCGGCCTGGCTTAATTGAAATCAATAGGCATTCAGGAAAGAATCACTTGTATCAGTATTCGTTTAAACGAGTCGATGCATAGATTTCGGGAGGATGTAATTCAATATCCTGCGTGGCATTAGCCAGGGAAGTAGTTGTTTTTCTCCCGAAATCTACCATTGTTGTTCATTTTTTTTATGAACACTGGGTGGAAATGACTGTGAGCTTTTCACATTTATTCACTATTTCATTCCACTGTGAGCATTGTGGCTATTTCGTAGTTCATATTATGATGTCATTCACTGAAAAAATTCTAACAAGATGTCTACAATATCATGTTAAAAATTCAAGTCGATATAATGTCTCAGAAGTCACGAAAGTTGACGTGTCTGAGCATACAGAATTAGCGATGATTAGTTCTCCTCAAGTAAAATTATCCGGAAGTAAAATACCTCTCCGTTCGGATTTCCGGGCGAGAGGTGCTAGAGGGGGTTCACCATCGACTGAAAAAGTCCTCAAGATAGACCTATGTAACATCCGAGGTCTAAGTAAGAACATCAACGATGTCCATCGACATCTTCAAATTGAAAAGCCAGACATATTGGCTCTCACTGAGACACAGGTCTATTCATCCACCAATACGACTTATCTGTTCTGTCCTGGGTACGAACTCCACACACGTTTCAGATTCAAGGCAGGTCTCTGCCTCTACTCTAAAACGAATCTCTCATGTCAACGAGAAAAAACTTTGGAACCAAATAAGTTTTATGTCATGTGGTTCAAACTCGATAACCAGAAACAGACCAAATACCTCTGTTGTCTTTACTTATCACCAAATGATCCATCCTATGAAGAGCTCTCCGAATTCTTGTCTCTGAAACTTGACCGAATTCAACAAAACCATCCAGCAGCAGGAATCATCATCATGGGCTATTTCAATGTACACAACACTGCTTGGCTCGTACACTCTAACAGAACGGATGAAGCTGGGCGACAAGCCGAAGCTTTCGCCATCACTCACGGCTTATCAAAGAACCCACACGAATTCCCTATGCCAATAACCATTCAGTTAACATACTTGATTTATAACTCACTGATAATTCAGCACCCTACACCACAGATGTACGAGCTCCACTTGGCAATTCTGACCACAAACTAATCCCCACAACCTGCCCATTTTTTATTCCATCAATTGCTCCGGCACCCCCACGTCTTATATGGCATTACAATTCAGGGGATTGGGACGGTTTCCGCATGTTTTTCTCCGAGTTTCCTTGGCATAGAGTAGGGAATGTTGGAGAGTTGGTACCGCGGGTGAGTTGGGATAGCGAATTTTTCTCGAGTTTGGTTGGTAGAATTGTATTGTTTTCAATACAGGTTAAGCACATCCGAGGCAGACGTGAATAAACCTCAGTAGCAGACGCGTGTGTTGTTTCATCAAAATACCAGATAACGATTACTATTTATTGGACTCGAAAGTTATCATTTTGATTCATCAAATAATTCGATTTATGTCTTCACAATGTAAGTTATATCTGAAAGTTGATTATGCATATGATGGTCAATGATCAAGCCATATGAAATGTAGTAGTGATTTCATGATTCACTTCAACTTGGCCACTGAAAGTGTGATAGAACAACATGGGAGAGTTGGGACACTATTTCAAGGGAGAGTTGGGACGTCCCATGTCTCCCTT